GATGTATATGTTACGTATTGGTTACTTGAAATTGCTCTTCTACTTTTACTTCTCGCTTTTTAGGCTCCCATTGGTCCTCATTGTCATATTTAAAACAACGTTAATTTCTGACTCGTGCACTCGTAAGTTTCCTCTCGGGAACGCATTCACTATGAGAGCTCAGTAATATGAATAGCTTCAAGAAACCATAAAGAAGCGTTTACTCCACCTCTTTCCGAGTACTCTGATGCGTCAGCATCTGATCAAGCTGGCGTTGCTATAGTCTTGATCACCAAGAACGAGGTTGCTCTGTTGAATGGGGCCACTCTAGACAGCCGACTATGCCCAATGAAACTTGGGTTGATGTAAATTTAGCAACCGGAGGTTAAACGAATGGTGGTTGTTCATGCCTTCTGTGTCGGCTCTCGACATACTGTAGCCTGCACCCAGTCAACGACCAATTCCACTAGCTACATTAATTAACTACACTAAATTGTTCCTGGTGCACTCAAGACAAATATAGTTATCTTGACCAGTTATCTTGAGGTCTGTAGTTCGACGAGGTCATCCCGCACTTGACGACGGCGATGAGGATAAGTTTCTTAGTCTGTGCCTACCCAGTCTTTTTCTCGTTAGCATGAAGTTCAGACCGAGTTGCTTAACAACGTATCATAAATTGTCATAGGTTCAGACGTGAACACAAATTAATCATATAGCTTTCAGTTAAAGGTAGCGAGGGTGTCAAAGAATCCCTTTCTGAGGTTGATCGGGACTTGGACTGAAGAACCACATAGGGCTCCGCAGTGTTAGGCGTGGTATTGAACCGGACGACAGCAAAGCTGTCTAGCCGAAGTTGAGTGGCGGGGTCCAATGCACTCTAGTAACAGCTACTAAACCACTGCACCACCAGTTCCCAATTTCTATAACTGGGTTTTCTGGTTGACGCATATATTTCGCTTACCTAACAATCGTCTACCACCCCGCGTATTTTTTTTCAAAGTTCCGCTGCAGGTTTAAGACAATCACATGTAGATGCATAAATTAAAGGGAGAAGAGGTATGAGGGATTTGATAGATTAGGTGCCTGACGTTTGCCTTCCTGGGGTCCAGAAGACTGTACCCGGTTGGTCGGAGACACCGAATGGTATAGCAGCAATCCAATATCAGTGATGTTCTGGTTTTCGTGTCAAAGCACAGTGCTTGGATAGGTGTATACACACAGCTAACGTGTGCACTGTGTTGAAGCATCAAGATTTTATTTTTTTCCTACCTCAGAAGAGGTTGAATACTTATTTGCCTCACATTCGCACTTTGCATAGACGTATGTCCTAAGCGCTTGTGAGGACTCATTTCTAAGGCAGTCGTGTTCGGCTATCTTATTCCCTATTCTGTTCAGTCGACACCTTCACACATGGCAAAATCAGTTGGTTGTCATCCGAACAACCAGACAGTCATGTCGTTTCCTTTTCGATCTTGTGATCCGCTACTGATGCGTCATTGGTTGGACACAAATCCGGCATTGAAAGAATTAAACAAATCTAAAGAATCAACCTGCAGAAAATTTTCGCAAACTACCAGCCTTGGCAGTTCTGACGGCACAGGTAAGTGCTATAACTTTTTGTTTGCTTTCTGCCACTTCTTTATTTCCCTTCTAATATTTTTCACTTTAAAACAGTATTCAGATATCGCAGAAATGCCACTTGATGGTCTAATGGTCAATATGCTGATACCAGAGGGTGATTCGTCTGGTGGAAATCCCTAAAATGAGGTTCGTCATTCAATCAATTTATCATCGGACCGAAGAGATGGGGAATAAGCCGGCTTCATGTGTTTGTTTGCTGGTGGTCACATGTACTCGTAGCTAGCCAAAGAAAGATACTGGGATGAAACGAAACTAATCGAACGACAGGTGGTTGAAAACAACCCAGATAAACCAATTAAGCGAAAGAATGTCTATCGCGAAAATCACAGGGCATAGCGCTTCTGAACCAGTAGTTCAGTTACCAAATTAACGGGTGAACAAACAGACATTTATCCGTTGTTTCTCTCTTGGTTTTCGCCCGATCGAACTTTTGTTGTTATCTTTACTTGCAAGTCACAAGTCATAAGTCCCTTATACTGGTCACCAACCAGATTTATCCGGTACCTTCTGTAGGTATCATAATCCCCGCTTTATGTTCTGTGACGCTCTTCATTTTTACTCAGTTAACTGTATCTTATTTTGGTATAGGATCAGAACGTTCAGTGGAGATTCCCATCATAACATTTGATGAAACACGAAACTGAACAAGCTCCTTTTCAACAACTTGACCCTCGGACTAAAACAGTTATATAAATACGGAAAAGGTATATCAAATTTGCCTAATGTTTAGGGGCGTGAATTTAATTAGGAAATGAGTTTAGCACATTGTGTGCGCTTTATCAACAAAATAGGCGTTGAATGGACGGGAATAGGGATGAGGCACATGGAAGGGGTCGTTCACAACATTATTTATCAAAGGATGAAGTTATCGAAAAATCACCATGTTTCTCGTGAATATCTTTTCGAAAATCCCCGTTTACTGTGACCACTTTGAGCAATATATAAACACTGTTTTTGTTCCTCTTTATTTGCAATGAGTGGCCTGAATGGGTTGAGCTACCTGAGTTCGATAATATACTCTAACAGTGGTTTGAGAAACTAGAGCTAGGTGGATGCACGGAGCGAGTGTGTTTGGTGACGAGTACGCGGATAATTCGTTGTCGGATTAATTGGCTTGGCTGGTTAAGACACGTATTGCGCATGCCCAGCTGTCGTCTACCGCATTGCACCTTGTTCACAGGTTGGAGGAATGGAGTTGAACTCAACGGATGACGTGGAAGCGAGATAGGAATAAATGCACACAGCGATTTGCTAGGGCGGTTGTCTTCCGTCTTCTAGGTTAGGGTCCAAAAGACTGCAACCGGTTGGTTGGAGACACTAAGGGATATGGCAGCTGACCGACAGCAGTGGTGTAATTTTTTGTCAGATCAAGATGCTTGAAAAGGTATGTGTAACACAATGTACTGTGTGTTGAACATAGATGTTCATTTTCTCTTCCTCCTTCCACTTAGGCCCAATTCCCGTTTGTCTTGTACATCCTCACACTCAAGTCAGGTGTGTGAAATATACTGCTCTTCAGACGAGAGCATCGCAAGATATGTAGACCTCGTTATAAGTTCGATGCAAACTAGTTCGTTTGGATTCTTTTCACCATAAGATCTTAATCGATAGTCTCAGCCTTTTTTGTATGTTTGACCCAGTTACGCATACATATAGACGCACACGACACAACTTCCGCTATGCATTTGTTATCGGGGTTTGCAGTTTAGTGCGACAAACTCTAACCGGTGACTCACTCGGTGGTTCATCGACAATTACTGTTGGAGCAGCGGTGGTCAAGTGATTAAGTTAAAAAAAAACAACCACCTGGAGGTCCTGAGTTCAAATATCGCATTTGCCGGCCATCTTCCCCTTTTCTGTCTTTTACCAGCAGTCTTCGTTTTACCGCAGCCCCCGTTCCACTAAAATTGATTGGAAATTTATACGTCCAAGTAATAAACACGAATTAAAGACCATTATTATTATTGTGATTGATTATTATTTTCACTTCCTTTTATTGAAAGTGAAAATGTTACTACAAGATATGTTGAATTAATATTGGCGTATAGGGTAATTGCTTTCATTTTCAATGTGAACCAGATTTCCATTTCATGTTTTATTTGCCTAGGTGCAACTGATTCAGAGAGTTTTGTGGCGTTGACTGGTTCCACAATCGGTCGTTTGGGCAGTTTCAAAGATTGGATGTGCTTTGACCCGGTGAGTACAGTTTTTCATGCACAACACGCTTAGACGCATGTATTTATTTCATGAGAGCAAGAAGAAGCATCATGATCACAGGATGTGTTGAATTCAACTATTTCGTGGTAATCTCATCAGCTGTGTACATACATTCAGATCACGTTTGGTTAAAAGAGTGACAGGTTTTGGGACAGGCGAACACACGCGGGGAAGAGAAATCAATCAATATGAANTGAAGGCCAAAGGTCACTAAGAGGAGCCGGATTGGACGTTGGGTGTAAGAAACAAACAATCAAACGGGTCCAAGCTTCCGTCCAGTTCAATCACCCGACATATATTAGATTGCAAAGAATGTGACAATCCTAGAGACGCCTTTCGTGTCTTGATCCCTCAGAAAAGTAGCCGTCTATTACGGTTCGCTGAAGCGGCTGCCAGTCGACGTTACAAGCCCGATTTGTGTAAACAGGCCGAATTTGTGGCTAGCCTCACGCTGCCCTGGTAGGTGTCACTGTCCTCCTCCCTCTCTCCCCCGCTCCACCCCGCAGTGATTCCGCTGCCTACCCCAACGTCCAATCCGGCTCCTCTTAGTGACCTTTGGCCTTCACATTGATTGATTTCTCTTCCCCGCGTGTGTTCGCCTGTCCCAAAACCTGTCACTCTTTTAACCAAACGTGATCTGAATGTATGTACACAGCTGATGAGATTACCACGAAATAGTTGAATTCAACACATCCTGTGATCATGATGCTTCTTCTTACTCTCATGAAATTGTTAAAGGGAACTGGTTGCATGAAATTTCTAAAGAAGCATGTATTTATGTATTTATGGGTCAAACGTCCAAGGTGCCCAATCGAGCCGGTGACCACTGCCACAACCGGAAAGGAGTGGGTGTGCTTCCCACGGCTCCTCTTGGTTGATTTGGAATCAGGGTTTTTGGCCAACTCTCCTAGGTGAACTACCAGTGGTCCACCAACCCGGNACTTTGGTGGGAAAACACCTCTGCCACGAGAAGACAGTAAGTAGGACTTCCTCAGCAGAGGCTATTTGAGACGCTTGGTCGTATGGGAGCATTTCGCGAGGTGCAAGGGAAAGGTGACCAGCCGCAACCCTAGACACCCACCCCCGACCATACTGAGGCTTTCCAAGCGTGATGAATGACACGATCCTAAATTGGATGATAGAATATTGTGGATTGGAATTATCGGAGAAATTTGTTGCGCCAAACTAAGACCTGGCACGAGGGTATGAAAACCCTAACCAGGAGACTGGGTCACATGGGTCCCGTTAGGCTCCCTGGTTGGGGACCTCGGGATGATCGTAACTGATGGTTAGAGACACAGTGATATGGCTGGGTGTCGCAGCCAGTGGCGTTCGTGCATCTTCTCAGTCTCTTTGCGACCTTAGACCACTGAACTTCTCCATTTTCTTTTCCACTCCACTTTCAAATTTCCTTTCTTCTCCCATTCTTTATCCAGATGGGCAGCCAAAAGACAGTAACCAAAACCGGCGCACGAATATGCGTGGTTAACGGTTGTTCAAACTGAAACTGAAACCAAGTCTCGTATAGAACCACGGGGTCAGTGCAGTTTCGGGTGGTGCCAACAGTTCGATCATGTGAAACAATTGCTAGAAAAACAAAAGCATGCCTCCTGTTACACATATATGTATGTATTGTTCGTCGCATTTCAGGGAGTCGATTCGAGGTGAGGTGCTTTCGAAGAATAATCATTGCGATATGAATTAGATGGGTCTGACCTGAGTAAACTCGAAACAGGCCGATTTTCGGTGTTTGCAGATTTACTGGACGAAATTTCCCAGAAGCACACGACTAGTTTCGCGGTCCTTGTCCCCCGTCGGACATACGTATCCCGTAATTCTTTGTCAAGTCGTTCTTATACTTGTACTGCCAAATGTGAATTAGGCAACGCAAAATTCCTTTGAATAAAAAGAAGCGGAGTCAAGAGCAGGAAACCGATCGTTTGCTTAAGAATTTTGCTCATTCAATCATTCAATCATCTCTGAATCACAGAATCATTGCAATAATTGTTCAAGATTGATTTATATTATTACGGTGTTCACCAAGGGTGCCCTAATTCATCTTGGGTGAATTGCTGGAGAACACAATTAATGGTCTCCAAAATGTAACTACTGGCTTAACGGAGGACAACTGTACGATTCAGAGTAAACCGAAAACATTTTCTGTCTTTTCGAATGTTCGTAGGGCGCTCAATACTCTATGCGGGATGCGGTGCACACCCTCAAAGTTCGGATTGATGCTGCAAGACTGAGTGTCGTCTACTCCTTTCAAGTCAAATCATGAATCGTTTGATTCACCCAAAGGGTGAAATTTCAACAGTTTGGCATATTCGAAAAAAAAAATCCAATGAACGGTACCTGCGTCTTTGCCTGAGACGGATGCAAACACTATGGGTAACAGCGTCCATTGTGGACAGACGGGTTTTGTGGGCAAACTGTAATGCTTTTTGGAAGGTACATAGGGGTGTCATACGGTGCAGCAAAACATTTTTAAAAGCTTTCGGCAACATGTGCACGTGGTTGGACGGTAATTTGACGATCCTTTCTTTGTGATTGGTGTGATCCGGACTGGCCTCTGACAGTCGAGGATCGTTCCAGATGATAAACACGTACTGAAAAATTTAATGTTTCGAGCTAATCGGCGCATGCTTTTAACAAATGAAGTGGTAATCGATCGGAATCGTAAGTTTTGTTGATTTTGAGTTTCGTCGTGGATTGGAGAACCTCGTACCGAAAAATAGGATCAATTGCATCGTGGGCTGGAAAAAGAGACGAGGAGGAGTATGAGGCAAGTACATAAGCGAATTGATGATTTAGTATCTCAGCGTTGGGACCAGAGTTGATACGTGAGGTAACGAGTTCCCACAAGGCCTCTACATATCACGACAGCTTTTATTACCGAAAATCCTCTCAAAGCAAATTCCGCTCAGGCATCTTATTTCAGCTCCAACCACACCAGATAGTACTTTTATACTGTTACGCTTACCGGTCATATAAGGCTTCTCCTCATCACGATGGCGTTACTTATGGCGAGTGGAGGAAAATCTGCCGGTTCGATTATAGTTATAGTTTATCATAGTCTCAACAAGGCAACATTGGTCATAGCAGAAATTAAGATAATCAGTAAGATGTTCGCAAGATAAAGGGAGCTGGTTGTTGGAAAACGTAAAAATGTCCGCAGAAGAAGCTAGGTCTCAGCCTGACCAATTTCACTGGGGAACAACATCTTTTCCTTGGAGTATGGGAGGCGGGTCGGTAATGAAGGTGATTGCTAGGTTGACAGTATATCTTGGCATAATATTGGTCAGAAGCGCTCGTTTAAGGAAATGAAACAAATTAGTATCGTTTACTTATTGCCATTGAGATAAGCATTAGTTCGGAGAGGGAAATTTACAAGGTCCACTAAGGAACAATGGTGCTACGAGTCGAAAATATAGGCTTTCGTATTGTCATTTATCAGACCAGAATGCTTAACAAAGTGCACCTGTATAGTTGGTTTGTTCGCGATGTGTTGCACCATAGATATCCACTTTCTTTTTTCCTCCCTCATACTAACTTGGTATGTGGGCTTATTTCGTATCGGTTCCACAGCGGCCTGGGGGGTTTCAGGAAGGCTCTTCTTCTTCATCTACACCAATTTGTATTTCATCCTTAACCTGACTGTTTGGTTTGATTTTGGAGCCAAGATATTTAAAAACTTGGGTTGATTAGACAAACTCGTTAATCGAAAGGGATTGTGTCGTGGCAGAATTTTCGGTCGAAAATGTCGTGGTTTTCGATGTGTGGATCTCTAGTCCAATAGCATGGGCAAGCTGATTGATGTGACTGACAACAGACTGGAGATTTCCCATGGTGCCCCCAAGTACCACGACATCATCCGCAAACTTGAGGTCTGCAATCCATGTGCCTGGGCCCAGCTGCACTCTGGAGTAGTCGATGAGTGTTTGTCGCATTACCCAGTCTACGGTGTAACTGAATAACACCTGCACTAAAGGACAGCCTTGCCTATCTCCAGAGCTCAGTCTAAACTCAGCTGATTATTTTCCATAGGCACGCGTGCTCGGGTCCCTGAATAGTACAACTTTAAAAGCCTGATGAACTTCTCTGTCATTCCATCGGACCGCAATATTCACCACAAGGATTTTTCATCGAGAGAATCAAAATCGATGCGGAAGTCGATGAAACATACTGTGGTAGATTGTTGGAACTTGCACCGGCGTTCCCAAATGCTACAGAGTAAAGAGTTGTTCACCACAGCCTCTTCCGCCGCAAAACAGCCCTTGGTTCGGATGTGTGCCGGTATCTCTGACGACTGCAAAGCGGTTAAGCAGCATCACTGTATACAATTTGGCGGCATATCAATGAGGCTGATACTCTATAATTTTCGCATCTTTATCTGTCACCGTTTCTGGAATAGGGACTAAAATTGAAGTTTCCCAGTCTTTGGAGAAATTTCTCTTTTCCAGTGGAGTGGAAAAGAGAGAGAGCAGTGGAATAATCAGAGCTAGTAGGCAACCTTTGAATAGCTCTAGTGCTAATCCGTCTTCTCCATTTGCTTTCTCGATCTTCAGAGAAATGACTACATTGGCGATTTCTGTCCTACTGGGTGGGCCATAATTGATGTTGTAGGGCTCCGGGCTGTTTGATACCTGTGGACAGCTAGGTTGGTTTGATGGGCGATTGAGCATCCCGTCGAAGTGTCCGACCCACCTTTGCATTTTCTGTTCGTTTCGCTGAATAAGTTGGCTCGTGGCGTTGCGCAACGGTAGTTCCAATGTCTCTCCTGCCACACGGATTAGACGAAATAGCTCTCGCTGTGACGTATGCAGCCACATGCTCTCTGCTATTGCCTTCCAACTTTGTTTACGGTCTCTCTTGGCGGAGTGTGTGGCCTGGGTACGTAGAGTGCGGAATTCACGATTATTTATCAGCCGCACCCCTCTTGCCTTTACGCACAACTGCAGTGTACCTTCGGAGATCCAGTCGCTTTTGTGGCTAAAGGTCTTACTTAACTGCCCCAGCGCCGCTTCTCTGATGAACGTTTTCAGCGCGGACCACTGTATGTCGACAGTTGAATCGTCGAGAGAAGTTGCGGGTATGTTGGAAACGGTTGCGTTCACCAACACCTGCCTTTTGTCGGATAGTTCCAAGAGAAAGAATTTGTCTGTGAGACGAGTCGTCTCGCAAGCAGTCAGGTTGACCTCGAAGCGCACGCTTCTGAGCGCGCGGTAGCCAGTGACCGTCAGAACGGTTCATACGCTCAGCACCGTCCCAGGATTCCAAGGTGTCCGTGAGGTCTGGTCTAGTGCTCACCTCATACACTCTTCTCATACCTTATCCTACCTGTGTGAGTAGGCAAGTGACCACTGTCTTATTTGTCGGTGGGCCACATTCACATAAGTGGCGATGCTGTCAGCAAACACTTGCGGTTTTTAAAAGAGATATCGGTTCCTAGCCGGAAACTCCACCACGTCCTCTTGCACCGCCACAGATCGTCCGTGACCGGTTATTCAGTTGGGGTGACCCCCCCACCTTTTCGTGGTTAACCACCAAGTGGACCGTTCTCCTATGTACGACTTGGAGACTCGCTATTCGTAGATAATCCATTTGGCAACCTGTCGACCTGATGGGTGAGATGCCACGGAATTTCCCTCTTACTGGTTAGAAACCATATAACATCACACATTTTCTGTTTTTACAGCTTCTTCATACTGAGGGCGTATAATACTAATTATTACGCATCGTGTTTCATTTATTTTTCCTCCTTTATTGGTTTTTCAATAAGTGGGCTTGAGTCGGTGATAGTAATGATAGTGTATACAAAACAGGTGGCTGTTTAAGTTTACGGAATGGTGTTTACATGTTACGTAAACAACCCTTTCCGGCTGAAAATCTTCGAAGCACTGACTGATTTACTGGTAACTATATGAACGAGGAGGTGATTTGATACGAGGAATGATTTTGGATTACCCCATGTTATGTTTTGGGATTTGATTTTATATATAAATATTTCGTAATAAGTAGTATGTGAATGACTGGACAAAATTTCCCTGGAAGCACACGACCGGTTTCACTGTTCTTGCTGTTCGTCAGACATGCGTATCCGGTAATCTTTCGTTAGTTCATTCATATACTTGTGCCCATGAAGTATATATTTTCGACACAATAATCTTGTTTGCATCACCGGGTGACGTTTGGATAGACAGCTCTTTCAGAGCCAGTCCATTGAAGAA